TACAAACAAGGCGCATCATAGCTGACAGGTCCCCAAACAGCGTTTGCCATGCAGTGCAAGTGTTGAGGGAACGCCACGCACGTGCCATTGCTCTCCTCACTTCTCGCTCCCAGCGCCCTGGCGCTGAGGCTTGACCGCAACCGATGTGCAAAGCGCACCCTCCTCCTCCTCCCATGCGGCCTCCTCTTTATACCTCCACGTGTGCACGTGCAGTGTTACCGCCCATCCCCCAATCAGTGCTTGCCTCTGGACTGGTTGGTGCACGCGCAATGTGAGCAAGGATGGCACGTGTTAAATACGTCTTGACATGCGGGCGCATCGTGGCGAGGACCCATCGCCCTTATCCACTGTTACTCACGTCAACTCCCCGTTCCCCTTGCATGCACCCCCCATCACGCGCCCCCTGCACCCCCCCCATCAACAAAAGATATACACACAACAAAAAAACAAACAAAAAAAAACGGGGGGGAAAAACACGAAAAAAACAAACATTCAACGGCCGCGCGCGGCCAGGCGGCGCACGTGCCCCAAATGTGAGGCCCACGCGGCCACAATAGGAGACATCATGTGCCCCGCGCCGCCCTGCCGAACGCAATCACCCGATACCACCCTCCGTTTCGCAATAGCCATTTTGGCTCAGCATGCCGGGCAAGCGCCGCAAGCGCAGGCGCTACAGCGACCGATCGTCTTCATCGTCGTCGCACCGCAGGCCATGGGAGAAGCGCGATGCAGATGAGGAGTCGGCACACGTGGCGCGCCAGAAGTCGGGTGACTCCCTGTCGGACATGCTCCTGGTTCTATACGCCAGCGGCACGCTTGATGCCAAGGCAGTGTGCATCCTGGCGCACCACGCCACAGAAGCAGGTGTCCAGCACGACATCATTAAGAGGATCGCTCGCCCACCAGATCTCCAGACAGGGAAGTACGCTGCGCATTTGAGGAAACACCTCCCCTTGCAAGAGTCAGCGCCAGAGATGAACGTGCTGCAGCTGCCAATGACCATTCGAAACAGGCGAACCATCAAGCCGACGCTGGTGTCTCCGCTGCATGAGGCATTGGAAGCAGAATTGGCTTTGCTGGACACGAGAGGTGAGTCGGTCCAACCACCGCCTGAAGCCGAATGGTCTAGCACATTCAAGCACCACCGCCATCGAGTCAAGCCTGGAGACGAGCGCCGCGTCTTCCCCATCGCCATATACATCGATGGGATCAAGTTCACCAGGAGCATTGGCCCTGGCAAAGCCGACAGCTTGGTGTGCGTCACTGGCTACAACATGGCGACGGACAAGCGCCACGTCCTGTATGTTCTGAGCAAGCGTGAGATGTGTCGCTGCGGATGCAGGGGCTGGGACACCCTCTGGGGCTGCCTCAACCATCTGCGATGGAGTTTAGCTGCTGCTGCTGAGGGCAATCGACCTGACGTGCGCTGGGACGGATCCGACTGGCCAGACGATTCTGCTTATTCGGTTGGCAATCGTGGGACGGGCACGCTGCAGCACAGGTACGTGCTCTGCCAAATCAAAGCTGATTGGGCAGAGTTCTGCACGAGTTTAGGTTTCCCGACGTGGTCTAGTTTCCATTGTCCATGCTTCATGTGTGCGTGCCGCAAAGCGAATATGTTCGATTTCAATGGGATCACGGTCGAGAATCACAACTGGGGGGATCGCCCGCTGGACTATGAGGCCGCCTGCAGGAACTGCGAGGTGGAAGTCCACGTGGAAGACGAGGACACGCGCAGAGCACTACTGGAACAAGCCAAGCTCAGAAATAAGAAGAAGCTTGGCCGCGTCATCACACAGGACGCTCTTCACATCGGCCCTGGCCTACTGAAAGGAGATCGTCTCGTACCAAGCGTTGGCCTCCACGATACAGCCACTTTCGAAACTCAGCCAACGCCGTTTGTAGCAGTGTTTTGGCGTTCCCATTTCGACAAAAAGAACAGGAAGACCGATTGGATACATTGTCGCAATCCGATTTTCAGCGAGGAGGTGGGCGCGACCCCACACGACACCATGCGGCTCGATACCATGCACACGCTATATCTTGGCGTGTTCTCCAGATACGTGCATTATGTGATGGAAGTTGTTATTGACACTAACATGTACAACGTTACGGGTACGAAAGACGAGATCAAGGATGTTAGCGTTAGGTTGCTGTTCAATGACTACAAACGTTGGTGTTCTGCCAATGACATTGAACTTTCGTACCAACTCAACGTGCTGCTGCCCACGATGCTGGGGTCCAACAACCATCCGTACATGAAGGCGAAAGCAGCTGAGACGGGAGTCCTTTTGCGTTGGGTTGTATCGTTCTGTAGCGCGGAGAGTGACCGTCTCGAGAACAGCGACCTGTTGCTGGCAGCTGGCGCTGCTCTTGTGGCGTACATCGACAGCATCAAAACAGAGCCGTTCAACATCGCGCTTGGCAAATGCCAAGAACTCATGGATCTCTGCTTGAGGCACCTCCATTTGATGACATGCCTGGGTTGCACGCACCTTCCCAAATCGCACATGTGGGTTCACATGACGTTGAATATCAGATGGCATGGAAACCCGTGGTACTACAGTACGTTCGTTGATGAGACATTGAATTTATGCATCGCTCGCATGGCAGCTGTTTCTCACAGGTCAAACTGGGAGGATAATATATTTCTTCGGGTTCGGTTGCTGCCGCATCTCGTGCGAACTTCAACCCTTGCGTGCGTCTGAGCACGGCAGCTGCGCAAATCTACATCGTAACCCGTCTCCGCTTCCTCCTCCACGCAAGCGCTCCCCCCCCCTTCGCAACCCAATCAACATCACCTCGCCCCGCCTGGCAACGATCTGAAAATCGTGAACGTCACCAATGGCGCGTCGATCGCAATGCGCCCACCCGCGACATGCCCGCTACATACCTGCCCGCGACCTGCCCGCGACCTGCCCGCGACCTGCCCGCGACCTGCCCGCAACCTGCCCGCGACCTGCCCGCAACCTGCCCGCGACCTGCCCGCGACCTGCCCGCGACCTGCCCGCGACCTGCCCGCAACCTGCCCGCGCCCTGCCCGCGACCTGCCCGCGACATGTCCGCGACATGCCTGCGACATGCCCGTGCCCTACAACCCCCCGTGCCCTACTGCCTCGGGAACGCCTCGCGGGCGCACCGTGTCACCACGCGGGTCGCCGAGCCGAGCGCGCCACATAGATTGACCCGAATTCCGAACTCGCGCCATACCAGATCACCACATCCCCTCATCGAAGACTGGCATGCCCTAGACGTCCGCTCCGTTTCAATGTCAGCTCGAGTTCTGCGCGGTGCATTCGCTCCACCCTTCGCGATGCTACTCCTCGGAGACTGATCCCTCCTCCTCCTCCTCCTCCTCCTCCTACTCCTCCTCCTCCTCCTCCTCCTCCTCCTCCTCCTCCTCCTCCTCCCCCTCCTCCGCCTCCTCCTCCCCCTCCTCCTCTCCCTCCCCCGCCTCCTCCTCCTCCTCCTCCTCCTCCTCCTCTTCCTCCTCCTCGTCCATTCCTCCGCATCCTCAGTGCCCACTTCTCCCCGCAGCGCATAACCAGCTCGGACGAACCGAAAGAGCCCAACCAATCGTGCGAAGATATTATGGCCCGCCTGGATGAGTTCCGCAAGGGGCTGAAGTAGGACTCGCAGGGGCAGGATCAGCATAAGCAACATCATAATGGGCAGGGGGCGGATGGCCGCAAAGGTGGCGCGCGATTCCAAATAACGGTGCCATTGGAGTCTGCATCGCGATTGGGTCGGGGGCGCGGGGTGGTTGAATGAAACTGGCTCGGGCATATCGAAGTGGAGGTGGCGACCGTCCACGGCCGCCATCGCAGCTTCGACGTGCCCGCCCCCGCCCCTCCCCGACCCAGTGCCGATGCATATTCCACTGGCATTGCTATTCGGAGTCTCCCTAACACGGCGCGAGCTCGAGGCCGAGAGGCGCAGGCTCGTGGTTGCCCGACGTAGGCGTCACTGGCACAATTCGCGGCGGGGTTGCCAGCAGGCGCGGCCCCGCTCGTGGCCGACCCCCCCTAAAAAAAACAAATGCCTTCAGAACTAACGCACGTACCGTCCGTATAAATCAATACCTGAGAGACGAGGGGAGGGAGGGGCGGAGGAGGCGGCGGAGGAGGGGAGAGCGGGAGGGGAATGTGAATGATGGGGGAGGAGGGGACGGACGGGGGAGGGATGTTGGATGTATAGCAACATCAATTAATGAGCAGGGGTGAGAGAGGCAAGGGGGGAGGGTCGGGAATGAGGAAGATGAGGAAGCGGATGGGGAGACGGAGGAGGAGGAGGAGGAGGAGGAGGAGGAGGAAAATGAGGATGATGAGAAGGAAGAGCAGGCACAGGGGGAGGGGGGGATGAGGAGGCGGGAGAGGGGTGGAAGAAATTGATCCTCCTCCTCCTCCCCCTCATCACCATCGTCCTCGCCCCCCTCAGTTCCCCCCCACACCCCTCTAGAAGTCAACTTCCTCGAGCCTCGGGCCTCGAATTGTGAGCCGCCTATCCCGAAAGCCGACGCTGACGGAGACTTTCGGCCCCATCCGCTTGACCCCGCGATCCGCGTGAGAGGTGCGTCGAAATCCCACGGGCCAGGGCCTCTCAGGGCCTCGCTGCTACACTCGGAAGCCCGCATCCGCCTGACCCCGCGATCCGTGTGAGAGGCGCGTCGACATCCCCGCCTCTCGAGCATGGCCTCACTGCTACATTCAGAGGCCTCTGGCTCCATGGATGCATCCGCCTGGCCCAACGCACCGCTGCAATTGTCATTCCCCAAATTTAAAGCTAACAAACCATGGCCGTGTTAGAAAAACGATTGCGATGCTAAAGCGATACATCTGCAACAAACGAAATTTCACTTTTATTTTCGAAAAAAAAAGTTTCTGAAACTATTTCGAAATTTCTGAAAAAAAAAAGACCTCTGGGTATAGAAGGCCGAAAATTGCGAAAAACGTCCGTCTTGATTTTCCAATTAGCGTTGGATCTCTGGGTCCCCGGCGCGCCGTAGTCGGACTCGGAGCGCACGGACCTCCCGGAGTCGGACATGGCGTCGGCCCTGCCCCGGCGCACGGCGCCCACGAGCGCCGCCGGGGGCGCCCCCGCGCCCAGGGGCGCCGGCGGCCGGCCGGGCGGCCGCTGCTGCGCCCGGGGGGGCTCCTTCGGGGCCCGCTTGGCGCCCTCCTCGGAGTACGCGATCGTCTACAGCACTCCCAGACCCCCTCGCGTCGTGAAAAAATCACGACGGGAGGTTTTTCACTATTTTTGGCCTCTGGGGGCCCTTACCGGCCCTCGGGAGTGTCAAAAAACGACTCAGGACGAAAAGCCGGCCCCAGGGAATGGGTCGAGACCTCGGGGGGTCGACGCCATGAAAAAATCATGACGTCGGGGGTCTGCAGCACTGATTTGCCCCAGGAATTGTTTTTTTTCTCGTCGAGTCATGCGCAGGAGAGGTTCGTAGATTTGCGAGCGTCCTGCGCATGTCCAGTGGGCTCGACGAGGAAGTCAGTTCGGGGGTGAATCAATTCCCCAGACCCCCGACGTCATGATTTTTTCCTGACGTCGACCCCCCGAGGTCTCGACCCATTCCGGTTTTTCGTCCTGAGTCGTTTTTGGACGGTCCCGAGGGCCGGCAAGGGCCCCCACAAGCCAAAAAATTAGTGAAAACCCCCCCCGCCGTGATTCTTCCTAACCTCGAGGGGGTCTGGGGATCTGTAGTCGACCCCCTGCTCGACTATCCTCCGCGGGGCAGGCCTCGGGGACCGCGGCGGGCGCCTCGCTGTTGGGGTGCGAGGGCACGGGCGTCTCGCCCATGCGGTGCAGCCCCGGGGGCTTGCGCGAAGCCGGCAGGCCCGCCAGGCCCAGGGCCGCCGAGGAGAGGCGCAGCGGCGCCGCGCCGAGGCTGACGACCTTGTTCGCTCCGCCGGCGCCGGGCGGGGCCGGCGGCTTGGAGGGCTCCGGCGGGGGCGACGGCGAGGGCTCGGGGGCCTGCGGCGGGGCGCAGGACCCAGACCCCCTCGAGTTATGAAAAAATCACGACGGGGGGGTTTTCGCCATTTTGGGCTTTGGGGGCCCTTGCCGGCCCTCGGGACCGTCAAAAAACGACTCAGGACGGAAAACCGGTCCCGGGGAATGGGTCGAGACCTCGGGGGGTCGACGTCATGAAAAAATCATGACGTCGGAGGTCTGGGGCGCAGGAGGGCATGCTATAGTGCTGATTCTACATCTGCTCTCCTTGGGGCCGCGCGCGCCACCGACGCGAACACGTATAGTGTGTGCCCATGCTGTGGCACATCGTCTCCCGAGCGGTGTGGCCAGGAAGCGCCCGCCACGGCGCAGATACTGCAAGATTTCTCGGTGCGCGCGTCGCCCCTGAGGGGGCGACGTATACCCAGACCCCCGACGTCATGATTTTTTCATGACGTCGACCCCCCGAGGTCTCGACCCATTCCCCGGGACCGGTTTTTCGTCCTGAGCTGTTTTTTGACGGTCCCGAGGGCCGGTGAGGGCCCCCAAAGACCAAAAATAATGAAAAACCTCCCGTCGTGATTTTTTCATAACTCGAGGGGGTCTGGAGATGCGGCGCCTGGCCGCCCAGCATCTCCAGCTGCCGCGAGGCGACGATGTCGCTGCTGGAGGAGCTGCCCTTGACCGGCCTCGGCGCGGGCGCGGCGAGGCCCGGGTCGGCGGCCAGGGACGCGCCCAGGAAGAGCGCGGAGGGGTCCCACGCGTCCGAGACCATCGCGCACCGGGTGAAGATGCGCTCCTTGCGCCGGGGGTTCCAGAACGTCAGCGGCTCCTGCGTCCCCGCGTGGGCCACCAGCGCCGCGCTGATGGCGTCGGACAGCGCCGCGCGGTCGTCCGGCCCCTCCACGAAGTCCGCCAGCGACCTGCCCTCCAGCTTCTCGTCGAAGGCCGAGGACGCGTCCCACACGCTCAGGATGCGGTACTCCGTGATGTCCACGAGCAGCACGAAGTCGAAGACGAGCTGGGCGAGCGCGCGCCAGCGCTCGTGCCACCGGGACGCCTCCTGCAGCGCGAGCTCGGGGCGCGTCATGTCCACCACGTAGCCCTGCGCGATGCCGAGGCGGCCCCCGAAGGGCATCTCCGGCCCGCTGGTGGCCAGCCCGCGCACGCAGAAGTACCGCGTCTCGCCGCCCTGGCTCTCGAAGGACACCACCTCGGACTCGAAGGGCGTGGCCCCCGCGCCCGGCTCGCACGCGTGGATCGGCGCAGAGGCCTTCACGGTCTGCTCCACGACGCCGCGGAAGCCCTCGCTGTGCCCCGCGTCCTCCTCGCCGCCGAGGGCCTCCCCGCCCTCGCTGAGCTCGAAGATGCAGGGCACCGCCGCCGAGGTGCCCATGGTGCACCGCCACGCGTTCACGCCGCTGACGGGCGCGGGCAGCTTGGCGTCCGGGGCCTGCTCTGCGCCGCCGCCCGTGTCGACCAGCCCCAGGACCGCCGTGACGCAGCCGGCGCTGCCGTAGCACGGCACCAGGCTCAGCA